CATTCTCAATAACAAATATGAAATCCACATGCACATACTACACGAAAACACTGAGACACAGACGAAATGAAGACACTCACTTAAACACAGACGCATGTTCGTATTTTTATGAACATACCACAGACACACACAGAGACACACACAGAGACACACACACACACCACCACACACACACACACACACACACACACACACACACACAGATGCAGAAGCAACAATATAAACAGCTCAGAATTAAATGGGATACAGGCTGGATGATGAATTGGTAGTAGTTTTTGTTAGTTGTTCATTCACATCAGCGGCAAATTTATTTTAATAAAGTTTGCCTTTTCCAGAAACTACTGCACTCATTCGATCCATTCAGTCTAACTGAATACATCTTTATTTTTTTAGGCACATATTTAGACTTCCAAGGAATTTGGTTTTTTTTGTGCCTTTTTGACACTTTTGTACTCTTCGTCGTCAATGGATGACAGAATTGCAATCAAAAGAAATAAAAATTATTAATGCATGTCCAAAACTGCTTTTTTTTCAGTTCCTAATGTTCTGCTATTAATTGACAACTTTCTTATATATAGAATTTTTCACTTTTTTCTTTTCATCGTTTATGAATGCAGCAGAAAAAAACTGCAACAGCAGACATATTAACTGTCACATATTTCTTCCCATTTCATTTACGGCAGGAAGTCAACATTTGAAAAGAATGCAAGAAAAATTAATAAAGGCTTTTTCCTTGTAAGATTTTCATCAACAATACTATTTCTGATCCACTGACAGAGAGAGATATATAGAAAAACTGGTGGTATTTGCAGGCAAATAGTATCTCCAGCAAAAAGTGGCTAGTAAATAGTCAAAGTATTATATTCGACTAATATAAAAGAATAATAATAGAAAGTTTTTGGTTTACTTAAACTTTTCTAATCATTTATAAGTGTTTGAGTATCTCATCCGCCTGGCGGTTAACTTGAGAAATCAACGTTTGGAATAAACTGTTTCAAAAGAAATTTGTTAGCGAAAGTTCGAAAAAAAAATCTTAGGTCAACTATTTACAGTCATTTTAGACGAAGTCGATATAAATTATTTCCATTTAGACTTCCATCCCATCAGACTTGAGAAAAAAAGTTTCATATTACCAGCCACCTATAGGAAAGTAATAGTTTTAGTGATATATGATACGTTATGAAGTACAGATGCTTTAACGCGGTCGCCCAGAACGTCTTTTCATATTTTGAAAGCCAAAAATTTTAAAAGATAAAAATATATTATGCATTGTAAGGAAAAGCATCAATTTTAATGATTATTTTTGAAATTATTTTTACTGATAAATTTCCTTAACAAAGCAACAGTTTATCAATTAACTTCAGAGAAAACTTAGATGATTAGCTATGTCTTTACGAAACCAAATTAAATTTACTTCTTATACTCATGCTTTCAGTTAAGCTGAAGTTCATTAACTCAACATTTCTTAGGATAACAAAAAAGAAATATTAAACTAAAACAATATTTCCTTTTTGACCCATAAATCTAGCGGCTTTTTTTTCAATTGCAAAAGATCTAAAATTAGAAACTAATTTTCTCAAGACTTCTTATTGACAAAAGAAAAGAAAGTTTTAAATTAATTTTTTTTTTCCTTCTTCTTCATTCACTTTCAACAGAATTAGGCAAAACTACTGCCAAAACTGTTTCTGTTTTTCTTCTAAATACCAGATCTAACCAATTCTCAAAAAAAAAGTTTAATAAATCAAATTTTATCCAGAGAATATTTTAATTTTGATGCTGATTCAGTAATTCTACCAATAAGCTGTTGTCTAATCACTTCTTTACTAAGCTGATAGCGCCGTATTTGATAGTCCAATTTTTTTATTTGTCAACTTAATCATTTTGCATAAGTAAAACCGTTGGTTTACCGCAAAAAACATTTCCTTACTGCATCTAATTTTTCACCACTTTCCAACCCCCCCCCCCCCCCCCCCCCCCCCC